ATATATATATATATATATATATATTTATATCAATATTAGCGGTGGCGGTAGGAATATAATGATCTTCGCATAATATCGCGGCACTTTTGCTGGCGTCGACGACGCGATGTCCGGCGTGATCCTCGGGCGTCAAAAGGTTAGCAGCTTAGATGACAACAGTGCGCGAGTGCGGATCGGTTTGTTGACGTCACTTTGACAACGAGAAGAAGACTACGGTATCATTAACGGCGGGACGTCGTCGGCCGTGCGGCACTTGCTGGACTTTGCACCGCGGCGTAATACGACGGGGGGCTGTGTCAATTACAATAAAAATTTGTTATATATATATATATAATTGATGACACCCGCGCGTTTACGGGTTGGAAAATATTGTTGTCTACGAGTGGTGAGCGGGGTGGGGCGAATGCGTTACGACAGTCTAGTCTCAAGGTCATACACGACGGGATACGCGACATAATAACACGTGCCGCGTGGAGTTACAAACTTACAAACAAACAAACAAACATACATGTGAAACTAATATAAGCGTGTTAAAAGTCCAAGAACAGTTCATTACTTATTTACTAAACTAGGCCTGATTTTACTCGATTATTATCCGTATGTAATAATAATTTAAATCAACAGATTTTATTAAATAATTTGTTTTTTTAAACTTAATTTGGAATACTGAAATTTCAAAAATTAATAATAACTAATGGTATGCTATTTCATATTTTTATAGGAATTGTATCATGGGGTATTGGATGTGGGGCACCTAAACTTCCTGGAGTTTACACACGTGTTGATAACTACATAGATTGGATAATGAAACACACTAAAGACAGTTGTCATTGTTCAAATTAATTTTAGAACAGATTATTTTAAAAATGAAAATTGTTGTGTAAAATAAAAAAATATATAAGAATATTTAAGTTTTAAGTACTAATCTATAGTTAGTAGTAATAATACTAATAATATAATTGGAAAATTGTTAGATTATAAACAGACATTTCTGCTATATTTTTTATATTGCTTTTACTACTTGTACATTTTGTATAATTCTTCGTTAAAATTTGTAAAAAAAAAAGTATAACTAATTTTAAAAGCCAAAAACAAATTGTAAAATATGTACATAGATAATTTTAATCATAAAATTTAGCATAATAATTTTTATTTTTTTAACTTTTAATAGTCTATAGCAGTATAAAATTACACTTATAAACAGAGCCATAGCAAAGGTGTGACAACTGTGACAAGCTTTTGTCCAAGTCACCATTGTAATGGAGGTGATAAAAAGAACAGCTAAGCGTAGTCTTCAGTTAAACAAATGTTAAGTTTTTTTAAGGTGAAGGAGAGGGTTCAATAATTTAAATTCACTCTAGTAGCCAGAAATGTTTGCTATAGCTCTTTCTTAACATACTATTTAGCATCTAAAATTATATATTACAATGGCACCATTTGTATAAATAAAAACTTATTTCTTTAAAATACAGTAGAACCTTCTTCAGTCTCTACTTTTAAATAACCAGCATTATTTGGTCTTCTTCTATGACTGTTATTGCTTCGCCGACCTTCAATTAATAATGCAATTATCTATAAATAAATATAATAAATTGATAAAATTTAGAATTTATATCAGATATAATTTATAACCCTTATTAAAAATAGTATTGTATTGTTATTTATTTATTTATTTAAAATAATTAATAAGATATCTTTTTAAACTTATCAGAAAAAAAATTTTTTTTTACTATTTTCTTGTTAACTATTTATAGTTTAAATAATATAAAAGATATTTGACTGCTAGTTACGTAATTTAGATCAGTTAAGTTTTATTAGACTAAGATAACAACATGGATACAAATAAATAATTTTTTTTAATAGTCATTATTCTATATCTATTATTCAATATTAAATCAATAAGAAAAAACTTTACAAATTTTTATTTTTCTTATAAATAACAGGTAGATTATTCCTCAATTATTTATTTTAAAAATATAACATGTATTTAATATATTCTGTGATTTTTTAATAAAATTTTTAATTGAATAAAAAAATATTATATTTTTTTTTCTTATGTATAATTGATTGTGATTTGATTTAATTCTGTTTCAAAATGAACGATAAAACAAATTTTAGTAAATCTAAATAAAATGCAAAACATAAACTATACCTTTTTTTTATTGTATAAGACTAAATAGAATATCATTGTAAGCACTGTAAAGATGGTGAAATAGAATAGGAATCTAGAATCATTAGAATCACTAAAATCATCATTCATAAATTTTTTTTTTGGAATTAATACAAGTTGATTCTTTTTATTTGTATTGATTTCTGCAAGTACAGTAAATATTTCGTTAAACAAAGATAAATATACAAATTTCAAATTAAAAATTTATTACTTAAACAATCTAAACTTCTATTTGTGGTTAAATGATTTTTTTCAAAAATAATTTTCCTAAATAAAATGTATTTATTTTTATTTAACTTATAAATAACTTGAAATTTTCTATAATAAATATATACAATATATCTAAAACTAGCACTATTTCTATAGTGTTATAGTATATATTACTCAATAGCAGATTGTTTAAAAAAATAAAACAGGTCGGGTCACCCTGTATTTTTTTAAGAGCGATCATTGATCTAACATTTTTAACTAGTAAACTGTACATTACTGAGTAAACCTATAAAAATGTATATCGTTGAAAAATAGCACTCATGAATTGGAAAACATAAGTGGAAGATTAGAGTAACTCTTAAAAAGAGTTTGTGGTGGTAGTCTTGTAAAAACAATTAAAAAAAAAATAGCTTATTATTTGTTTTATATTAATAATTAATTTTCATGAATTTTTTTATTTCATAAACAAACTTTTAAAATTAGTTGTTTCAGTGCCTTTTCCTGTATTTAAATTTGATTTGAAAAAAATATTTAATTTACATTTATAGAAATATTATTAAAATATTGATAGAAGATTGGAGTTAGATTTTAATTTTAGATCATAAAAATTAATATAACCTTTATCAATGGGATACTCTGAATTTTCAATGTCATCATCATTACCATATGACATACCTGAAAAAATATTAAGCAGACATCAATATATTTTCAATAAAATACATAATTAAATAAATTTAAGTTTAAAGTATTCACGTTGGTCATCTGAAGCCATGATAGATTTTTTTACATTATCTGGATTTTCTTTAACAGGCTCTTGAATAGGTAGTTTTTCATTAGTTGGAGGTTCTTCTCCGATTTCTTCTCCTTTTATCTTATCAGTATTTACAATTAAATTATCATTGTTAAAGTCTTCTTCTTTATTAATGGTATTTGATTGAGAAACATTATCCTCTTTTTTTTTAGAAATAGAATTAGGTAGAATATCAGAGTCTGTTTTTGTAGAAATTGGCTTTTGTTGCTGGATATTAGTGTTTTCTACTTTATTAGTCAATTTTGGTTGTAAACTATTAGTATCATCTTTTTGATGTTCAATATTTAGTTGAAGAAAATTAACCTCTTCTTTTTTTTCTTTTACATCATCATTTATCTAATAATAAATTCAAATAGATTAAATTTTTATTCAATAGTAAATTACTAATAAAATATTTATACTTTTTAATATTGTAAATTATAACATTACATAAATATGAGAAATTTAATTGCAACATTAATTATAACTATTTAGAGGACAATACTATTAAATTAAAATATTATTTTATGAAGTCTATAAAGAGACAGCATAATACAAATCAATAAAATAATTCTATAGGAATAATTATTTTTATAAAAAATAAATGGTTTTAAACAGGGTCTTTAACTTAAATTTTTCAGGAATTGGTTGGGTTGATAATGAATTTTATTATTTTCTTTTTTAAATATCGGTTTAGGACTTACTTATTTGGGGGTACAAATGGTTTTAATCTTTAACATTTATTTGTATATTGAGTATAAAGTCTAGTGTCAAATTTAAATATTCTTGTTAAATATAAATATTTTTTGTTAAAATTATGGTTACAGTGCTATTTTGTTGAGCGATATTAGATAGTAGTGGTTCCAATCGATTGAGATGGCAAAGGTTTATTATATGATGTATCAGTAGTAGCAGCTCTTGGCTAATGAGGATTGCTATCAGTGCCGCCTCAATGTACAATGCAAAGACATGCACACAATGCAGTGATGACCAAAAGAAATAGCTGAATTTTTTAGTCAGTGTATAGACGATGTCTTAATGCACTGAGTGAGGAAAGAAAGAATGTAGTACCCTAGTGATCATTAAAATAAGCGCCACACTATTCATCTGACACAGGTATGCAAAAATATATGCAAGAGAAAGTGATGATGCTTTAGTATGTGGTTTTTATGGCGTTGACTTTATCGTAAGTTTGCATTCAATGTTTTAACAGGAACCCTTCTTTACAATTGTTCAACTAATTTATAAATATGTAAGAACAATTGATTACTGTTAATTAATTCAAGTGTTTTATCTTGTCTTTGTATACTTTGGTTTACTCGCGGCATGGTGTTTTGGTGTTTGTTTTCCTATTGGATGAGGGATCTATTTTTTCATTTATCGCGCGTTCCATTATTAATTTTGATATTGATGTTCATATGTTTTATAATGGAACTATTTAATATATTTAAATTCCTTTTTATAAATTTTAATTGGTTTGTTATATTTGTACATTATTAACGTTTTGGTGTTTTTCCTCTGTGTAGCGGTTGGGACTCATTATACCAATTATGTTTCTTTCTTTAGACTGGACGGGTACTCCCTATTAGGGTCTATCAAAGAGCTAAATACTAATTTATAAAAAATTCACAGAACTAACTACTAGTTTATAAAAAAATAACATAATAAAATGTTTGAAAATTAAATTCAGTGAGATTACTATAATTACAAATTTTAAAAGTTAAGATAGACACATTTTAACAGATAATTAACTAAATAAATGTACATTGTAAAATTGAATTTTCGAGAAAAATTTACAAATGCCTTGATTTTTATAAAATTTTAAATTATAACTACTAATTTCAGCACTAGGCCATCAGAAGTTATATTTAAAAATCAATAAAAATAAATAAATTAAGTAAAACATGAAAAAAAGTAGATAGTACCACAAATTCACGTTAACTCATTGTATAAAAAATTATGTTAATTGTATAAAAATCTAAGATGATTAGTAAGTTATGATTCCGGTGTAGGGAAATTGGAGCTTCTACCGTCAATGTTATAAATGCCAACACAAAAGCTCCTTATTGGTGGTTAGTTCCATGCGAATGATTCCAGTAAGGAGAGAGGGAAACCTATCTGAATTTTGAGCCATACATAAATAAGGTTGATATAGCTTAACTATTCTACTCATAAAGTAGAACTCAGGTTCTGAAACAAAATACAGCAAAGCTTCACATATCGCATTCAATAACATCTCTCCATCTCTTCTTCCTTCAACATTCATTTCTACAAGTGTTCTTACGACATTCGATTTTTCTCTTCTTATAACATGACCAAACCATCTAGGTCTATTTTCCCTCATCTTATACACGATTGACGCTACACCTATACTCCCTCTTATATGCTCTTTCCTTATTCTATCTTTTCTAGTCACTCCACTCATCCAACTAAGCATTCTCATCTCTGCTACAATTTTGCACAACTGATCCTAAATACTTAAAACTCTTTACTTCTCCAATCACGTCCTCGTGCTCTCCTTTGTCAAACTCGTACTCTATAAGCTCTGTCTTACTTCTACTTATTCTTAAACCCTTTTCTTCAAGAGCTGATCTCCACACCTCTAGCCTTTGATTAATTTCTTCCCTATTTTCTCCTATTAACACTTTATCGTCAGCAAACAACATGCACCACTCCTACTCTTACCCGAAAACCTTCTGATACTCCTCCTACGCTTTTTACCCTGGTACAAGTGCCATCATACATATCTTCTATTATATTAATGTACCTTTTTGGGACTCCTTTTCTCATTAATGCCCACCTTAGAACCTCTCTAGGTACTTTATCATACGCTTTCTCTAAATCTATAAATACCATACAAAGCTATTTCTTTTTTTCCTTAAACTTTTCTATTAGTTGCCTCACACAAAATACTGGCTCTATTGTTGACTTACCAGGCATAAATCCAAAGTGGTTTTTAGATACCGATGTCTTATTTTTTATTCTCTTATCTATTACCTTTTCCCAAATTTTCATACTATGACTCATAAGCTTTATGCTTCTATAATTTCCACACTCCTATATGTCACCTTTACCTTTAAATATCGGCACCACAATACTATTCCTCCATTCATTTGGAATTTTCCCTTCTAAAAAGATTTTATTTAAAAGTTCCTTCAACCACCTTATGCCAATACCGCCTAATATTTTCTATACTTCTACTGGCACTTCATCTGGTCCTACTGCTTTATTTTTTTTCATTGATGCCACAGCCTCCCAAATCTCTTTCTCACTAATTAAATCTACCAGTCCCTTATTCTACGAGATATCCTCTAATGTCTCTTTTGGGTACTCCTCATTCAATAATTTTTCAAAATACTCTTTTCACTTTTTTTTCACATCATCATCACTCAAGAGTACCCTATTATCAGCACTTTTTATACACCTTATATAATGATAATCTTTAGTCCTTTTCTCTCTTACTTTTGTAAGTCTATAGATTTCTTTCTCGCCTTCCTTTGTTCCTAGCCTGTCATATAACTCATCATACCTATTTAACTTTGCCTTACTTACTGCACACTTGGCTTATTTGCACAAGCATTTATACTCCATCCAATCTTCTCTCCTTTTGCTCTTTTGCTATACATTGAATTCCATGTAGAGAAATACATAAATAAATTTAGATTTCACCAGACATGAATACAAGGAACCAGATTTATTATATGGTGGTGAATAAACAACTCAAATGAAGTATTCAAGACGTAAGAAGTTAAAGAAGAGTAAGTGGTTACTAGAACCATTTTTTAGTCAAGGTCAAATACGCATTAAATTACCTATTAAATGGATTCAAAAGAGTAAAAAAACTAGTAGGTTTAATATAAATAAACTAAAGGATAATGAGATAGTCAAGGTATATAAGGAAGAGTTAAAGATAAGATGAAAAATGACATAAACTTACAATATCAAGATATGAGGTTATGGTAAAACTGTGTTGATTAACATACTTTAAAATTAAATTTTTTTAATAATATTTGAGTATTAAACTTAACTAATTATACAAAGAAGATTCTTTTAACATTAGCCACTCAATTTATCATAAAATAGTAAATGTTTATACATTTTATTTTTTATTTTTGGCTTTTGTTTGTTACATATGTATCTCCATTTATTTGTTATAAATAATTTTTTAAGGAAATTCCATATATCTTATAAGAGTATCAAATTTTTTTTTTAAGAAAATTTTACAAAAACATTTTTGTACCTAGGTCAGAGGAGAAATGATAAAAAATAGCAACATCTGCAGCAGTTCTCCTCCAGCTGATATTTTAAAATCCTAATAATTCTCAAAATACTTGTTGAAAAATTATTATCGAACAGGAATTTTCATAATTAGATAATTTTCTATTTTATAAGCTAGTTTAATAAATATATTGTCATTTAAAGTTCACACTATAAGGGGTGGACCTAATAATTATTCTGTTTTAAGTAGTGAAGTGAATTCTAGTGTTAAAAGAATCACTGTGTATAATGAAATAAAATCAAAATCAAAAATTAATCATGTAATTTATAATATAAAAAGTTAACATGAAAATATTTGTAGCATATATATAATTATTATTATCTCGGATAATATTAAATTCAACAATAATGGTATCCTTTAATGGTAATATAACATAATTGACACATTGACACATTAGCCAGTTTTGGACAACAGAGTTAAATACTTAATAAATTATTTATTAATGTTTTATAAGATATATTAGTTTTTTGAATCAATTTTAAATTTAATAATGAAACAAAAGCCTAATTTTTTGAAACTTAAAAATATAAAGTATTAAATACAAAAATTGCCAATGACAGGTGTTGTTACTCTACAATAGATGAAAAATAAACAATAATTACTTCTGGTTTCACTGCTATAGGTTTTTCATCAGCTTTTATTTTAATATTTTTTGGAGATTCAAATTGTGCAGGTAATGATGTTTTTTTATCTTTTTCATTTTTTTGGTCCGATGAATTATTAATATCAATTTTTGATACTGAAATATGAATATATATTAAAAATAAACTATATATATAGCAGAATATAGATAATATACAGAGTGATCAAAATTTCATGTTTCAGACTTAAGAACTGAAATTATTGAAAATATAAAAAAGTGTTTCAAAAGACTTTACTATAATTTAATACAATCAATTATGTTAGTGATGTTTTTTTAAAAAGTCTATGGTGGGTTTTAGAGGGTAAACTTTTAAAAATCTGATAGAAACATATGTTTTTTTTTTTGTAGCATTTAAAGTTATTTTTAGTATAAATATAACTGGAGAAAAAAGGGTATTTTATAATATACATTTTGAGATTTACCCTTTAGAATTATAAAAAAAAATTAAATTTTGAAAACAAAAAAGTTGAGCAGAGAATGAGTGTAGTAGAAATAAGAATACTTAGTTGGATGAGTGAAGTGACGAGAGGAGATAGAATAAAGAATGAATACGTAAGCATAAAAGTAGTATCAATTCTGGATAAGATGACAGAAAATAAGCTTAGATTGTATGGTCATATTATAAGGAGAGAGGAATTGGAAGCTGTAAGAACGGTTATGAAAATTACTAAAAAAAATAAAAGAGGAAGAACAAAAATGAGGTTAGATTTAATTGAAGGTGCTAGTTGGTATATAGATGATGTAGGAGATTGTATTGATTAGAAATTTAGGAAATGGGTGGCCGAACTAAGTAGTTGGGATAAAGACGAGATAGAAGAAGAATTTAAAAATAAAAAATAATGTTTTAAATATATACTGAATTTTTAATTTTGCATTAAATTAACACGAGTTTTCTTTTATTTTTTCAAAGTAGATTCCAAAAACTTTTCAATGACAATTAAAAAAATATTAATTAACATAACTGTACATATAAAGTAATAATAAAAACTTTTTATTTGAAAAACTTTTATACTTTCAATAAATTTCAAAAAAAGTCTAATAAAAAATCCAGATCACCTTACTATATGTAATAATAAATACATACTTTTATCTGTTTTTTTTAAAACATTATACAAAGACATGACTTCTAGATTAACCATCTTGCAGTGCAGTGTTATTTCATTATTAATATTATAATAAATTTTACGCCATTTTTCCAATTTATCAAGTGGTTTCATAAACAGTGCCAATGATGGTGATAACTTAGTTACTTCTTTCCAAGCGTAATAAACAGATTCTTCATTATTTGTCTCAATGTTATCTTTAGCCCTTTTGACATCGGAAACATCAACTTTTGCTGTAGTTGAATCTATTATCAAGTAATAAATGACTGAACATAGACATACTACAGGAGTATTTTTTTCAAAATCTTGTATTTCTGTTGTCTTAAGCAGCTTGGTATCACAAAAGCTTTTAAGTTTTAGTTCTTCAAAATATTTTACTAGACCTAAGTTATCAGGCAATCTCATTATTAAATCACTGACTTTTGTAGTAGTGGCTGGAGTACCACCATTTTTATCAAAGGTAGCTAAAACACTAATTAAAAATATAATGTTATTGATTGATGGCATAATTATAATAATGTAAAAATGTTCACATAATTAAATAAATTAAAATACATATAACTACATGTATTTAATTTCTACGGATTATATTTAAAAGTCTATAAAAATTTAAAAGAATAATTATTTTTTATTTTTAAAACAATTTAACAAAAAAAAACAATCTTATCACTAAACAAAAAATACAATTTCAAGAATACTTTAACAATAAAATTAAATGTCTCTTATTATTTTAATTTATTATAAATAACTAAAATATAGTAACTCAAATTGATAATTGAATATTTAACAAACTTTCAATAATATAATCTAGAGACTTCGATCAAATAGTATTTAATAAATTTATTGAAGTTGGTAGCCGATAATTCAAATTGAACTAGTAGCTATGTTTGTATTAGTAAATATAACCTCAATTAAGGAAATTCAAATTATGAATTAAGATATGTTATCAGTATTGCAATAAATATAAACAATTTTTTTTAATTGGTAGTTTTTCAATAGATTTAGAAGATTTTCAGCTATTCAAAACTTGAACACTTAATAGATTTCAGTTGTTAAATTTCTTGAATATTAAGATTAATTTATTTTTTATTATATAGTATTGATATACGAATAATGGTGAAAAGAAAAAGTGAAGTGGCGTTGTTTGACGCTGAATCAAATAAAGCTATTAGGGAAAAATACTTAAAAACAGACGTTAGATCATATTAAAATTTAAAAATTCAAAAATGATTTGTTCGACATTATTATATTACTTATCTTTATTTGTTATTTTAGCCTAATGCTAGAACATCAAATCTTTTTATGCCAATTATGGCATTAGAAGGACATGAAGGTGAAGTGTTTGCTGTAAAATTTCACCCAGAAGGAGAATACTTAGCATCCACAGGATTCGATAGAAAAATATGTATGATCAGTATTTTGATATTTACTAAATAATAATCAACTAATTTTTATATGAATTAATTACAGTTTTATGGAGTGTGTATGGAGAATGCCAAAATATTGGAGTTCTTGCTGGTCATACTGGTGCTATATTAGATCTAAAATTTTCTACTGATGGATCATTAATTTATACAAGTAGTACAGATATGACTGTGTCCTTTTGGGATATATTTAAAGGACAGAGAGTTAAAAAACTAAAAGGTAACAATATAAATATTTTATATACAGAGTGATCTGTTTACTAAAAAACACTCAATTAATTGTAAAATAATATAATATTAAAAAAAAATGTTTGGTTTTTTTAGCTACATAATGTTATTAGGTGAATAAGTACTTATGATATATAGTTCAGAGTGCTGGGCAGTAGACATGAAAGTGAATGAGTAACGAGAATGCTTAGATGAATGAGTGGAGTGACTAGAAAAGATAGGATAAGGAACTAATATTTAAGAAGGAGTATAGATGTAGTGTCAATTGCGGATAAAGAAAAAGATAGAAGAAAGAATGTTGCTTGGTGAATTCTAAATAACTGTATCAATACTTTTAACCAAAATGAGATTTTGCATTGAAATAATGTATAATATTTCAAAATCATTATTTCCCTCAAATTCTAAAAAAAAAAAAATTTATTGTAGGTTTTCATCATTAAATAATTCATAATTGCTGAAAAATTTTGTGATCAAAAATATATTTTAATATAAAAATAAATTACTTCTTTGAATTATCCAATAAAATTTATAGGGTTGTCAGCTTTTTAAATGGCAATATAATAACTAGCTTATAAAATAAAAAATTACTGATTAATAACAACTTTTGAACCAGTATTGCAAAAGTTATTCTCATTATTATATGAGGAGGGTGGAGAAGTACGACCAGAAAATGATAAGTAATAAAAATAACAACACCCACATCTCACCTCTAGCCAAATAATTAAATAATAAAGTTAATAACTTTGAAAATACTTGTTTAAAATATACTATCAATCCGTAATTTTCTTAAGTAAATCATTTTCTATTTTATAAGCTGGTTATATATATATATATATATATATATTAGCCTTAAAAAAAAAAAAGTTGACACCATTATAAGATACGAGGGAAGATTTTAAAAAGTAATTAATTCTTGATAAATCAAAAAATATATGTAACTAAAAAAAATCAAAAATTGTTCTTTTATATTTTATTTATTTTGTGAGTAATTGCAATAATGTGGTTTATGATAAAACAATTACCTTATATATAAAAGGTTGACCAGATCTGGCAACTCTTATAGCTTTTGATTTAATAATCATTTCAATTTAATTTTTCATTTTAAAAGATTTTCTTTTCTTAGATTATGTTAAAAGCATATTTTTATTATTTCATTTTAATAATAATTAAAAAAAATTTTTTTGATAGGTCAATAACAACTTAAAGATAAGTACTCGTTGAGTTAAGTTTTAATAAGTTTTTTAATACATGAAGTGAATATATAGTCCAGATGAGTGCAGCTATATTTGTAATGTATATTGCACCCATGATACATATCCGCTCTATGTATTGAAATGCTTGTAACTAAATAAGTTAATATTATATTAATAAATTATTTTAATTTTTAGCTTTGATGCTAAGCTGAGAAGATATAATTTTACTATGAGGTGTTTTTTTTTTATAAATAATAAAATATCTTATTTTAATGTAGTTTAAAATTGTAAAAATTGTAAAAAAAAAAAAAATGATTATTGAATCAAAAGTTATAAGAGTTGTCTGTTAGATCAGTTCCACTCTGTATATTTGTAATAAAATAAATAAAAATAACAACTCAAATGTTTAATGGATAAATTATTATATTTATTAATTTTATCTATTTATTGTTATTATTATATTATTGAATAATTTTCTTATGTTTTGAGTCTAACTTTAATAATAAATATTATTGATTTATTTTTATATTTTTTTATATAGTTATTTTATTTTATTTTTGTATTTTTAGGACATACAGGATTTGTAAACTCATGTGATTCAGCAAGACGTGGTCCACAAATGATCACTAGTGCATCAGATGATTGTACTATTAAAGTATGGGATCCAAGAAAAAGAGGAGGAGATGCTGTTACTACTTTTAATAATAACTATCAAGTCATGTCTGTTTGTTTTAATGACACCGCAGATCAAGTTATAACTGGTGGTTTGGATAATGAAATAAAAGTATGGATAAAATGTTGAAAATGTATATTAATGTACTGTTATCTATTTTCCAGTAGATGCAATTATATTTATAAATCTAAAAAAAAAAAAAATTCTTAGCAGTAACATCTAAACTATGCGTGTATATACATATAGTAACGTATACCTTTAAAACTTTTCATCTTTAAAATTTTTTAATTTATTATTTAATTGCTTTTAATCGATCCAATTTGTTAACTTAAAATTAAAATGTTCTAATTTATAATATAATTTGTTTATAGATTTGGGATTTACGTAAAAATGCATTGCTACATCGTTTGCCAGGGCATACTGATACTGTAACTGGTCTTGAGTTGTCTCCTGATGGATCTTATATATTATCAAATGCTATGGATAATAGTTTAAGGATATGGGATGTGAGGCCATATGCTCCAGCTGATAGATGTTTAAAAGTTTTTTCTGGTCACACCCATAATTTTGAAAAGGTAATTAAAAATAAAAGGATTGATATTTGAGATCAACTGAATATAATTCAGTGGACCACATTAAAAATATTATTTATTATTAACAATATGTGATTTTATAGAACTTATTAAGATGTGCATGGTCTCCAGATAGTTCAAAAGTTTCAGCAGGTTCAGCTGATCGTTTTGTCTATGTTTGGGATGCAAATACTCGTAGAATATTATATAAATTACCTGGCCACAATGGTAGTGTTAATGATGTAGATTTTCATTCAAAAGAACCAATTAGTATGTATTTATAATGATAAATATAATAATAACTTATGATATTTAAAGCTATATAAAGTAAATAACATATGTTAGAATTTAAGGTGAAACCTCAATTAAATATTTTAATTAAGTTTAAAAAAAAAACCAATTAATTAATTACAAAATATTTTAATTTCTATGCACATTTATGAAATAAAACTACATTATTTTGTAAAAAAAAAACATTGAATAAAAACACCATCTGTGAAATGAATTTTTAAAGGAATTTTCATGTGACATTACATTATTTTTTCAAAATATACAGAGTAGTAATTCTTTCACGATAACCACTCAATTTTTTTTTAAAAATAATAACTTTTTTGGCTTTTGTTAGATACATATGTATCTAAATAGAGATTTATATGTTATAAAATATTTTTTATGCTTATTCTTTATGTCTTAATGTAGTGTCAATTTGATTATTTTTAATGGAAACATACATAATTAACTAGCTTATAAAATAGAAAATTATCTAAATAAAAAAATGGCTAGTTAGCCATAACTTTTAGATTAGAAGTGCAGAAGTTATTTGTAATTTAAAGTAATGACTGGATTTGAGGAGTGTGTGCTGCTATTTTTATTACTAGACATTTTTTGGCCTCACTCCTCTTCCAACCTTGGTAAAAAAATGTAAATAAAAAGTTGCTAACGACCAGCCATCTTCTTAATTACATCATTTTCTACTTTATGAGGTAGTTAAATGTGTATGTTTCCATTAAAAAAAGTCGACTCCTCTATAAGACATAAAGGATAAACATAAAAATTATTTTATAACATATAAATGGAAATATATATGAATCTAACAAAAACCAAAAAAAAAAAAAAATTTTAAAAAATCATTATTTTAAGAAAAATTGTGTGGTTTCCATCTATATTTAAATATGTAAAGTATAATGGCATAATTCTCGGGTATTATTCTGAAAAAGGGAAATATACAAAAATATATATATTATTATTATTCCAAACATTGCCAGATTCTAGAAAACCTTGTAAAGTCAAGGATTAATATTCCTTGATGGTTTGAGAAATCATAGAAATATCAGGGATTTTATGATTTTGTATTGGATTATTAAAATTTGATTGAATATATTTAGATTATGTAAGGTTGGCTATTATTTCATAAAAATCAGGAAATTAAATAATATATATATTTGTGGCAACTATGAGAAGTTTCAATGGCTATCATTTTGCTCTTAAAAATATTTATTTTAATGGTAAATAAATAATATTATAATAGTATTTTAAATTTATGCAACTTTAATAGATATAAAAAAAAATTATCATTTCTAGTTTATAAAATATTAGTTATTGTAATTCATTTTTCACTTAAAAATGTTTATTTATATCAAAAAATACAAAGCTTTTAAAATTAATTTTAATATTTCTTTAATTTTTTTTGTTTTAGTTATGTCTGGATCAAGTGATAAAGTAGTATACTTGGGAGAATTTGACTAAATCACATACATGTAAATAATTTACCCTTTCTTACACATTTTTATTTTTCACCTATACTTATAAAAATAAACAATATTAAATAATGTATTTTAAAGTTAAAATGAAATAAAAATATATGATCTTGATTTTAAATAAATAAAAGTCATTAAAAAATGATAAATTAATTAAACATTTTTCAGCATTTTATTCAACATCTTAAACCTACAAAACTATAATATATTTTTGTATGTATATTAGAACTATTCAAATATAAAAAAAAAATGTTAGCCTTCTACCCTTCAAAATTTGGTATTGCAGTAAAATAAAACAATTTCTGATCCGGTCTTCCGGAAATTTTGAAATTTAATCATCAAGTGAGATAACTTCGCAGCTAAAGTTTATCATAATAATTATTATAACTTATAGGAACCCAAATAATGGGTGTAGCCAGGTGAATCATAGAAACCTAGCCCTTAATTAATTGCAATATATTTTTTTTTAATTAATTAATGGGCACAAAAAAAAGGTGCAAAATATAATTTTTTTGACGTTTTTTCCAATTAACTTTAAGAAATCCTGGGGATCGATTCTTGAAACAATGATAAATTATATCAAGTTCGATAAATGATTTATCGCTCTAGATATCAGTCATGGTGTATTCTTAAAAAAATTAACGAATGAAAATACTGAAAATAAATTATCTGAGAACCTATTGATAAAAATTAATTGAATATTTTTAATATTTTAATCATAAATATAATTTTTATTGACCGATCATAAAAATGTATCTTATTACTGGGCTTCGTCACAGCCCTCCTGCCCTACGAGCCTCACGTGCCTTAGACGCGTAAGAGTAGATGTGTAATATATGAGCTAGGACCCCCGTAACAACCCAAGCAACTTACCCTAGGTGTGTAACGTAGATAGTGGAGGATCAGGGAAGTATGGTGAAAGACAAATGCCCCCTTCCCATAACATGGCGAAAGGTTAAGAGTATAAAGTAGGGGTCTCCTCTCTGTCTTAGCTAGTACAGTCGGTAACACAAGTATTGGGGGTTAAGAGTAAATCTGTATGTAGGGGCTACCCCTACATAAGAAGAGGGCATATACTATGAAAAAATGAATAATTTAATAGAAATTAGTTATTAAATTGTAATTAATAATTAATTATGAGATAGAAATGATTAAGTTATGAAAAAAAAGGCTATTATACGGGGATAAGTGTTCTGTGGTTTGTTGACCTCTATGAAAATATGTGATTTTGTTACATTTAATTAGTATTTTCGCATAAAAGACGGATTATTACTCGAGTAAAATTTAATAGTGTTGTGTCATTTAAACGTCTTAAAATGTTTTCTTGTGACAAGTGTTTGCAATCAAGCATGGATTGGTACGTCATTAAAAGAGTCACGATGATATACGATTTAGTTGTCATTTGTGTCCTCAGACATTTTTTGTAAAATGTTCTCTTGTACGCCATGTTCAAAAAATTCACCGTAATTATTACAATTATTATTTAATAAAATAGTAATATTAGAAGAGAAAATATAATAATAGAAGTGTATGATGTGGACTATAATATTGCTATAGGAAATCATGCTGATTTGAGGGCTATGTCGACGAGTGGTAAGTAAAGAAATTATCTTATTAAAAAATGATATGCTAAAATAAATACATAAACATTTGTTTTAGAAAATGAAAGTGTTACGGCAAGAATGCAAGCAGATCCGAGTGCAATTAAACGACGTGTTCATTGTAATAACAATCCGATTAAAGCTAAACGGATAAAAGTGAAACGATTACATGAAATTACGACAAGCGGTTTTCATAAAACGGACGAATCATTAAATAGCCAAATTTTACGGTTTTACAAAAAGAATATTTTAAACGTAGCTGGGTATCAATATTTTTAGTTGGCAACAAGAGACGAGTTAGTTGAAAAACTACGCGATTGTATTGATGAAATGGGGCCATTAAAATTCAAACTTAAACTCGAGACGACTTGTACCGTGCCGAATAATGAAGCCAAGTACTAAAATCGGTCTTTTAAAACGTCGGCAGTCGAGTTAATTAACGAGGATGACATCGGTCATGCTGTGGATATTTCATACACAAAATTATTAGAAGAACAGGTAAACTACGCTGGTAAAGGTAGTAATTTCTCGTTTTCTAACATAGGCGGTCTTTTACTGGGTGCTTAGGCGGAAGTTCATACATTGATTTACCGGATGACATTAAAATGAGAAAAGCTGTAATAAACCCACAAAATATAAACCAACAATGTGTTGAATTTGGCTGTATTGGCGAAAAAAGTTACGGAAGGTAAAAGACAAATAGTGGAACAAAACGATAAGTCTATAGAAAGATCTTATGATTTTTTCAGTTTATCATTCCTAACACCAATTTCAGACAAAAATTTTCAAAACAAATAATCCGCATACTTCAGTTAATGTTTTTGAGCTAAAATTGAAAGATATACATAATAAATCCGAATATTTAGTTTATCCGCTGAAAGTGTGCGCTGAAGAACATATAGAACATATCGATTTGTTGATCATGTCAAATGCCGCGGATGACGGTCATTACACTTATATTACTAATTTTGTCGATTAGTATAATCACAAATAACAAAGAATACGTCAAAAAGGATATTTTGTATACGATGTTTCGCAGGTTTTAATAATATACCTAAAATGTATAAACTATATGGTCACAATGCGCTAGCAGACATAAAAAAATTTGCAGCGAATACAAACCGGTTTTATCTATAATGCCTGAAGAGGGCACTAAATTAAGTTTGAGTCATGGGGCAAAACACAAGAACACCCATTTGCAATTTATGCTGATTTTGAAAGCTTGTTAGTCCAACAATGATACAAAAGGCAACACAAATTATATACAGAGTGATTTTTTTATCATAACCCACTCAATTACTTGCAGAATAATAATAATTTAAACATTTTTTTTTTTCATTATCTTTAGTTACACATTATTCTTGAATTTTTAACTATGTAATACTTTTTAAGTTCATCCCTTATGCCTTGGAAGGGGGTCAACTTTGTTTTTTTAAATGGTAACACATATTTTTAATTTAATAAAATGTTTGAGTTTTTAATTTAATAGTAAATGGCATTTGAATTTTTAATATAACTTAATTCGTTTATTAGATATAATCATTTAAAGTTTCAAATTTTTGAATTAATATACAGGTATAATACACAAGGGATTACAAATACAGGTAGCTAATTGGTTTTTTATAACATCGATATTAGCAGGTACACAGCATTGTTATTATCAATTGTAGTAAGGCACATTGTTATGAGTTTATAAATACACTAACTGACAATACAGAAAGTATATCTATTGATAATCATAATTGATAATAAACAATCCGTGACTGAGACAGCAATGTCATAAAAATCCAATTAGCTACCTGTATTTACAATCCCATGTGTATTATACATGTATATTAACTCAAAATTTTGAAACTTTAAATGTTTATATCTAATAAGCTAATAAAGTTATATTAAAAATTCAAATGCCATTTACTATTAAATTAAAAACTCAAACATTTTATTAAATTAAAAATATGTGTTACCATTTAAAAAAACAAAGTTGACCCCCCTCCAAGGCATAAGGGATGAACTTAAAAAGTATTACATAGTTAAAAATTCAAGAATAATGTGTAACTAAAGATAATGAAAAAAAAAATGTTTTAATTATCATTATTCTGCAAATAATTGAGTGGGTTATGATAAAAAAATCACCCTGTATATTATCATGTTGCAATGAGTCATGGATACATAGTAAAAGCGGCCGACAATGTACCCATGGAATTATTGCAACAGTTTAATATTCAAACGACGCATAAAATATATAGAGGTAATAAATGCAATGAGCCTGGGAAAGTACTCAATCGTTTCATGTATTGCGTAACTGAAGTGGCGTTGAAAATTGAAGAGTTGCTCAAGACGAACGTTGATATTTGTATGTCACATGAAGAAACTGAAGAACATATAAAAAAAATCTGCTGTAATTTGTGTAAAGGTGTTTTACAAAGAAAAATCATAAAGTAGCAGACCATGATCATTTGACAAGTTAATCATACACATAACTATGTTAAATATATTGTAATTAATATATATATATATATATATTTATATTTGTTTCAAGTAGTTTTAGAAAAACGCTTTGTAACAATTGCAATTTAAAATTAACAACGCCCAAGTTTGATAACGTATACTTCCATGATCTCAGCTCGTACGACGGACACTTTTTAGTTAAAGCTAAGGTTCGTTGATAGTAAAAGTAGTGGTAAAGTAATAACCTTGAAAATGGAAAAAATATGACATAAAAAAATTAAACAAACAAATAACAGAAAAAAAACGTAAAATATCGTTATTTATGAAATTATTTAAAAATTTAAATAACGTTTTGCGTCAAAAGTTAAATATAATTTTAGATTCATCTTGAGGAAAAAAAAATGAGTACAAGATATATTTTGTTTTATTATTTATGTTATTGGCAAACTTGTAAAATACTTAATATTTCAATAATTTATTGTATTTTTATGAATTCTGAAATTATAAAAAACATGTAATCTGAATACTTTTTATAAATAATTGTATTTTATATACTTTAAATACCGTTAACTTTTAACCTACCGCATATCTGGTCAATCAAATGTAGTTTTTATTTGAAAATTTATAAAATTTTTATTTTATATTAAATAGGCTATTTTTTTTCTATAATCTCAAAGTATTTGAATAGTTTTTCAACTATTCAAACATATACTTAAAACCACTTTTTCAAATACTTATACTGAATACAAAAAAAAAAGTATTTTTTGCAAAGCCGATTAATATTATAAATTGATTACCACCATACATTAACATTGAATAAATATTAAAAGTATTATGTTAAAATGAACCAAACAAGTGTATATCCTTTGGTAATAATAGTAAACATATTACTTTTTTATATTTTATCGTTATTTATTATCATTACTTTGACTGAAATTGAAATTTTGAGATTGATATTTTATTTTATTTTTTTAAGTACTAAGATAATTCCTATAACTAATTAATGTCGAAATTGTTGTTTATAAAAATATTTGGAATGAAATTCCAGTTGTTGTATATTAGTCATATGTTCACGTGTGTTGTGCTTCATTAACCCTGCCAAATATTATGTATAAAATATATAATAACAAATTATGTATTTTTCTATATTAAATAGTGAAATTTATCTTATCATGCATAGTACAAAGAAACCTTTATTCAATGGAAGTGCTGGGGGCCAACACATTCTTTCCGTTATGTAAAATGTTTCCCTTAAATGGAGGTTAGGATTAGATGAGTTTAAAAAACTTGATTTAAAGAAATTTTTTGATCAGATGTTTCCATCGAATAGAGGTGGTTTGTGACAGATTTGTTATTTTTGTTCTTAGATCCTAAGAAAAACACGTATAATTTATTTGTGACCAAAATTTTCGAAAAATTTGGACCATTACATTAAAGTTCTAAACATTTTTATCCCTAGGTGGGAGAAGAAGTGTGCCCGATAAATGTCTAATGATAGACATTGTCACACCCGCACATTACCACTATTTTAAAAATGGTAATAACATCCTAAATAACGAGTCAAAATTTATTATCGACTAGTCGTTTTTCTTATTAAATAATTTTTTATTTTATAAGCTATTTAAATATTTTTTTGCATTTTAAAAAAAAGTTGACACTCTTATAACAGACCCATATTTGAGGGGGGGAGTGTTACCTTTGACACCGGTAGCATATTTTTACGAAACACCATTGTATTCTGGTATTGCGTAAAAATGTTATCGTCTAACAATTACACTAGTTATGTTTTATTCATAACCGAAAAATATATACCGTGGATCTCGTTTTTATTAATTATGACCTTTTTTTATGATCAAAGGGGCGTCAAATATTCAAATTTAAAAGAATTACTTGTATAATACATATTTTACGATATATTTAACGTTTTGAGGATGAATTAGTTTACATATTTTTGCGTTTATTGAAAATCACTCTATCGGTGCAGTTGAAAAAAAATATATGCAATAAAAGCTGGTTCGAATAAAATAATTTATTATATTAGCTTACAATATTTAAAAAAAAGGCATCTATTGGTAAGAACTATTTTAGTATTCATATCTAAAAAATAAAATAAAAATCATTATATTGTATTGATTTTTCTGTATTTTAAGCAATATTTATTGTACAGAAATTATACAGAGTGTTCAGTAAGTCAGGAAACGGGTATCTATTGTTCTCATTGTTACAAACAATGAGAACAATAGAAACCCGTTTCCTGACTTACTGAACACTCTGTATATTAATTTATGGTGTAAATGTTATGTTATCATTATGACGCTATTTTCTTCCACTCTATATTTATAAATGTGAATAACTTCATAATAATAGCTGATATCAATGATTATTTTTTCGATATTTTTCTATTTTATTAGCTGGTTAAATATAAATGTTGTCATTAAAAAAATATAATCTTTACACTCTTACAAGGTGTAAGAAATGAATGTAAAAATACTTAATAATAAATGAATTAATATATACGAGTATACATGAAAATGAGAAATACCAAAGAGGATTTTTGTCACATAATTATTATTTTTAAAGAGATCGTTTCGTTATAATGATTGCTTATTGTACAACTGACCTACAAATTGTAATTTTCTTATAAATAATATAAAAAAACGATAGCACAGTGTGGACGAGGCATAGATGGGACAAGTATAGATCATATCTGACAGTGATTAAAGTTACTGTTGGATGAGTGGAGTGACTAGAGAAAATAGGATAAGGAACGAGCATATAAGAGGAAGTATAGGTGTTGCGTCAATCGTGGATAAGATGACAGAAAATAGACTTAGATTGTTTAGTTATGTTATGAGGAGAGAAGAATCGGAAGCTGTAAGAACAGTTATAGAAATGAATGTTGAAGGAAGAAGAGATAAAGGAAGACCAAAAAAGAGATGGAGGGATGCTATTGAATGCTATTTGAGGACAGCTGATGTGAGCGTAGAAGATGTGGGAGATCGTGTCAAGTATAACATGATAAAAAGTAACCGTAAAATGAAAAAAAATGGAATATAAATTTCAGTACTCATATTAAATGTAATGTAACTCGAAAAATATTTTTTTAAATGAAAAAATATAAGATAATTTTTTTATTTATAATTGTCTTTTAAACAACTTTTGCACGAAATTTTTTTTTTGTAAGTTAAATATTTTTTGAGAAAATTAAAAAAGCTCATATTTTTGAACTTATGCGAGGCTGTAAAAATAAAAGCTCAATTCCAATCAATGAGGACTATTAGTATGTCATTATACATATTTTAATTCAACTTTTAAAAAAACGAAATTTCGTTGGGAATTTTTTCCGCAATTTTTCCTTTGTTGACTGGCCTAGATGTCAATTTTAAACTTGTAATTGAGCTAAAAGTTATGGTAATATATTCAATTTATTTTACTATAAACTTTCATAAATCTTTATCAAAAATTTTTCATCAACTTTAAAGAACCAATAAAATAGGTTAAAAATGAAAATTTGGATTGATTATTTTTAACATATTAAAAATCAAATCAGTAATAATTTGAAAACAAATTTTTTTCATCTTTTAATTATTATTTTAAATGTAATTAGTAATAATATAAAAAAATAGAAGTGATAGAAAAAGTCTAATTGCAGATTTGAAAACAACGCAAAAAGTTGATTTAGAAAAGTATATTTTTGCTTCTGATGAAAGTTCCTTGTAGTCCAGTGCATTTTTTTATAGTAACAAACAGTTTTTATTGAAAATTATTGTATCAAGCCCTTTAAATTTTTATACACGTAAAAGTAAAGCAAAATATAACTTCTTTATTATTTTTATAATTTCTCCGTTTAAATTACAATATTAAATTATTGAATATCAATTTCATATTAAATTTAGAAACTATAATTCATATGTTATATTTTAAAATCAAAGAACTACTAATCAGGATATAATCAAAGAAATAAGAGTTGATGTTGCTTTTGGAATAATCAACCAATTTCTCTAAATGAAACACGATCTACAGATTTGCATCGAAGCGTTTCTTATGATAGTGATTTCAATCACTGTCCGATATCATCTATACTTGTCCCATCTATGCCTCGACCCCACTGTGCTACCGTTTTTTTATACTAGCCTTCATCTAGCTTGGACGGACGCCATTTTGTCCTTACAAGTAGGTCATCAATTCGAGTACTTGGCTACACTAGGCATTATAAATGTTATTGAAATTGTTTTTACGATATATCGAAAATATTTAAATATTAAAATGTGCAAAATTCAAAAATAGTAAATAATAAAATTTGTTAGGTATGAGGTTGACATTTGTTTGGCTGACCCCAAGTAGTTGGGATTATGGCGAGGAAGAAGAAAAAGATGAGGTTGACATTTATTGACTGACAAATGACTGTGGGTTTTCACAATAATCTAATAATAATTAAATTTTAACACATTTGGTATCAATGACATTTAAAATACTATGTGTATTAAAATCTTAAAATTATAGAAGGCGTCTATTTTTATTTTCTTACGGGCATTATAGAAAGTGTGTTTGTCACAATTCTAATATATTTGTGTACGTGTTATGACAGTACAATTCAAAAATAAAATTATTAAAGACTTCCTCCAAACTATGTTATAGACTTGTAATTTGTATTTTATTTTCTCTAATTCTATTATTATAATTATAAGTTGTGATGTGCGGTTAGAGTTAAGGTTGGAGTGCTGGCCCTTTAGTCGGCAAAGAGAAAAAGTAGTTTTGTTGGTGACTGACGAGTTCCCCTTGTAGTATGCTATTTTTTATCTGTAACTCGTTGACGAGTCTTGATGCTATCCCTTGAACGGCTCCCTAGTTTGAGGGATTGTTTTGACCAGTGATGCTCTGACGAGAGAAGTTGGGAAGAGCCTAGAAATGCATTTTTTGCCTAAATATTATTATTATAAACGCTAATTATTATTTTCAAATAGCGTGTGTATTAGGGTGGCCCTCAAAAATCGAATGTCTTTTTTTTCTTTACGCTACCCCTAAATTTTTTTTTAATGGTCAAAAAAATGAGCTGTGCAAAATTTGGGACCGATCCGTTAAGGTTAACCCGTGCCCCCGGGCCTATTAAGTTGAGTCGAAGAGTCAAATGTAATAGAAATAACTGATATATGTCTCATAACTTTTTTTTCTCTTAACTTATAATAATAAAAGTAAAACTCAAGTAAAGGAAATTTTACAAGAAATTCAAAAATAATAACTTCAATGTTGTTTTCTCAATAAATAGCCCACAAAAACACTATACAGGGTGATTTTTTTATCATAACCCATTCAATTTCTTGCAGAATAATAATAATTNCAGGATGATTTTTTTATCATAACCCATTCAATTTCTTGCAGAATAATAATAATTTAAACATTTTTTTTATTATTATCTTTAGTTACATATTATTATTGAATTTTTAACTATGTAATACTTTTTAAGTTCATCCCTTATGCCTTGTAAGGGGGTCAACTTTGTTTTTTTAAATGGTAACATATATTTTTAATTTAATAAAATGTTTGAGTTTTTAATTTAATAGTAAATGGCATTTGAATTTTTAATATAACTTTATTAGCTTATTAGATATAAACATTTAAAGTTTCAAA